AAGACCCTAAGACCCTAAGACCCTAAGACCCTAAGATCCCAAAAGATCCCAAAATCGACGAACAATTCACTTGCCAAACTTTGCTGGGAAAACACGGCAAAGCGCGCACTCTCTCTTCTTCCATATGATTGACAGAAGGAAGCAAATCGGTAGGTGGCCTAACTTCCGGGCAAGTGTGGGAGCCTGGTTACTCAGCTCAAGATGGCGGGTAATGAACAAAATAGACCAATTTCGATACATTAAAATTCAGCGTGAAACAATAGACCTCAGTACGAGGCTCTGTGGAATAAATACAAAGATTGTGGGGTTTATTCCTCAGAGCCTCGTGCTGAGGTCTATTGTGTTAGGCTGAATTTTAATATATCGAAATTGGTCTATTGGAGCAAAACTTCACTAAAGGTAAAAAATGCTTAGAAAATTAGGGGGTCTTCGTTTTAGAGTTTTTGAGGTCTTAAGGTCTTAGGGTCTTAGGGTATTAGGGTCTTTGGGTATTAGGGTCTTAGGGTCTTAGGGTCTTAGGGTCTTCGTTTTAGAGGTCTTGGTTTGAGAGACACCCCATGAAGGACTGTTTCTGTGTTTAATGCCAAACACCAGATACCGTAACTAGCATGATTAGATTCAGCCTCTGCTTGAGGAGGATGGATACACTTCTGTTTAATAAACCAAAACTGTTTAAAAAGCGAAAAAATCAGGATAGCGATAACAATGGTGGTTTTTCCTGCGACTTCGCGTCAGAGAAGAGAAAGGGAAACCAGATTTGAGATAGACGATTCCCTCTTGTCATTCCTTTATTTATTTCTATTCCTTTAAGCTTATCCCTGTGTTACCTGCTATGCACTACACTTTGTTTTGAAAAATAACAGCGCGTCAGTGGTCGGAGGTCGGTCAAATGATCAAAAATTGACTAAATTTTATGTTGAAAGGAAAGAATTGAATTCAAGTTACACGCGCTGATTTTGTCCTTATTTTATGTTTTCGTCTCCATTTTGGAGGGACGCCAGGTGAAGAACTGAGCAAAGAGGAAAAGAACTTGGCGATAATGGCCATGAAAAAGAAAGACGAATTATGAATTCCAAGAATTATGCATTCCAAGAAGAAATTGAGATCAGAGGTAAACTACTTTTCGGTTTTTTTTTTTGATGTTATGATATCTGATTAATTGTAGTTTATAATGTACAGTTTGAAATAGAGGAAAATTAGTTTTACGTATGCATTACCTGCTACTGCATTATTAAACGCAGGCTATACAGGTCATACAGTAGAAGTCTTACATGAAAAGTAGCATGTTTCAGGCATTCAGTTGCGGCATGTTTTCACGCGCGCATAAGCATAGCAAAATGCGCATGCGCGGGAAGCATTTGATAATTAGAAATCAAATGAAACGGCTTGGTCCGACCAGAAAATTTCCGGAAAACAAGGAGCACCTTTCAAGGAGGTCCAGTTTGATCGGTCGAACCAGTCAGTCGGAAATTTGCCGTTCCATTTTTAGAAACTGGTTCGTTGCCCTACTTCTCTTCATTAGATTTTCACTTCTGTAGGAGATTAGGGAAAGGAATAGAAAATAGTAAAAGCCATTCTTGCCGGTTGGCCCGGTATGATCGAGAATGTCGTTCCATTTCACAGCAGCTGGTCTGGCTGATGAATCTGATAAAATGAAAAGCACCCAGAGACACTAAACAAAAACTCCGTGAAGTTATGTGGCCAATTTGGAATTGAACATAGACATGCCTCAAGTGAAATAGCGTAATTTTACGTAGCGCTGTAACACAGATAGTCACAGAACTTTTAACGTTGTGTAATAAAGATGCTTGTGGTTATAGGACACAATATTCCGTGCAACGTGCATTGCGTTTGCTACAAAGGTGCTTTGAACCCTGCCTGAACATTTTTACTTTTCGTGTAGCAACGCGTTGAGCTTCAATTTTTTGTTTCTTTTTAGGTACGAAAACTCGAGACCAAAAGAAAGGCTTAAGACGAGGCACAGTCGAAAAAGAAACAAAAGACAACAAGATGAAATAACAACTTGAAAAATGAATTCAACGTTTAATAAAATGATATTTTACGAACACGAAAACTTGACTAGATAATTGGAGTCTTAAATTCAACCGTAGCTGATGTTCTTTTCTTGTTATTTTAACGAGGTTCGCTTTGAGTGCAAATGGAATTTATCAACGCTTAGATATATTTATTTACATTTTAAAAATCTTTTTGTCTTACCCAATTAGAACGATTTTAAATATAAGAAGGAATTCGTGGGATCTGTAAATTATCTGACGCGCCAATTTTGGGGGGTCCTCATCTATCGTTTGCATCTGAGATTGCAAGCTTCGTTGCCGATCGCTTTCAATGGCCGCAATCACTCAATCTCGCAATCTAGCTCATTGATGGCAGCTAAACCCTAAAAGAAACATTGAAAGGATAAGACACCAACTTGCTAGAGGAATATAACACTGAACAAACATGGCGAATGAGCCTCCCTTGTTACGGTTAAGGAAGAAGAGGTAGTCCTTTTTGCCAATTTACCTAAGGTGCGAGAGGTTTCATTTCACTTACGACCTCTCTGTCGAGCATATCCTTTGACGGAATTCCTTGTATTATTCTCTGTGTAGGGCGCAGTCATAGGCCAGGGAGGGGGAGGGGAAGGACTCCAAGTCTATATTTAGTTGTCGCTAAAAAAATTGCTATTACGTATACCAGTGGAAGTTATTACCATGTTGGTTGTGGTTGCCGAATGTGGTCTCCTGTTAGCGTGGGGTAGAGGGGTACCTTTGCAGTGAAATGCTACTGGCATCTGAGAAAGAGAAGTCATAAAATGAGCAGTTAGGTGATACATAGAACACAGACAATAAAACAATGGACCGGCGCAATCGAAAGATAACTTAAAAGACAATTATTCTAACATGACCATTCAAACGTAACATCCGATTTCATTTTCTTGATATATGTCACGCAAATGGACTGATTGACTTTATACTTTCACTCGGCCAATCACAACAAACCCTGCAGTAAACCGAAAAGAAACCTCGTAATTGGTTTCAAGAAGAATTTACAGTAGAATGATGTCCTGAAACTCCGCAACACTCTTGGACACAGCTATGAGACCCCAGTTGCATACCTGCACTCCCTCCCACCGCCCCAACCCAATTTTCCAAAGAGGAACAGAGGGTATGCTTTCTGTGTAAAATCGTAGACACTGCTTAGCCTGAAAAAAAAAGATTCACACAAGCAAGTTACCTTTTCGATATCTCGGCGTGATATAATGGCCGATGATTTATTGACTGACAGCATCGTTAAGCTCAGTTTGTCCGCATCGTCAACCCGCGGTTTTGCGGGACTGAAATTACACATCAACATGGCTAGAGGACTTATATGCCCTCTGGTGAAGTTGAAAGTCATTTGTCCAGCACATGGCGCCGAAAAATAATTATCCGGTGTAAATTTGTCGGGTTTTGTTTCCAGTGGGTCAAACCAAGATCCTGCGCGTGAGAGTAAACTAGAAAGGAACCCAAAATGGCGACTTGTCGTCTTGGCGGGTGAAACACATTGCGGCAGCGAAGAAGTTGGAAAGTTCAGAGGCGAGTTAGCCATTAGCGCAGGGTTCTGTTCTGGAAAGGTTTCGTTGAAGAATTCTTCTGTCGATGTGTCGCTTTTCAATTTTACGTTACACTCTTCTTGTAGTCGCTTTAACGCAAAATAACGTTTTGTGTTGCGTTGAATGACTTTCACTGCCTCTTGAATTCTCTGAAAATTTATCTTGGTCCTCCATCCACGCCAAACTGAGAAGGAAAGACTGTCTTAGAGGCTGTTATGCTTAGGAATGGTAAAACAAAGCCCGTTAACCGTCGTGTTTGAGTGACTTAGCCAGTGATAACTACCAAAGAAATACTCTTGGCAGGAGGGTAGAACAAGTCAGTTGAGGGCGAAGCATTGAAGGAGTAAACTGGAGTTTAAAGGAGCTCAGTAACGGTATGCGCATATTGAAAAATTTAGCCTCAATTTTTCAAATTCGTCGTTTGTAATCCGTGTTAATCTTCTCCATCCTTTGCCATCCTTGTTCCTTTATGGTTTATCATTATCTCTTTGGTGTTTTTCTATCTTATTAAACTGTTATTTTCAGGTTTCCTACCATTTAAAGGTAATTTTGTATGTGGCAAAAATAACTCAAAATACCGTGACTGAGCCCCTTTAATTACGTATTATGTGCCTTCTCCATAATACAGTGGAATCCCAATTTCTCGAACCCCGATTCTTCGAGTATCCCAACTGATAACTCCAACCAAAATTCGTTTCCTCCCCTCAGTCGAACACTAATTTTACCCCTGATCTCTCGAACTACTCGATTTGTCAAACCAATAATGGTTTTCCTTGGTGGTTCGAAACATCAAGATTGAACCACAGCACACTGAAAGCAAGGGTCCTGAGGAGGCTAGAACCCAGACCCCACATGCACCACTTATTGCAGTGGTTTCATTAACATTTTTAGCAGGAAGGCAACTGGTTTTCACAGGCGGACAAAACTTTTTAAACTGAACTTCTTTATAAGAAAACGTTCCTCTTGATGGTCAAACCAGTCGATTTGCCCAGTACCCAACCCTTAATGAAACCCCAGTATTGGACCTGTAAGCTTCCTTACACATTTTGTTGAAAGAACACATGAAACCCTTGAAACAAGGAAATGTAATTTACGTGACTGGATTGTAACAGCCGCGGAGTTTCTTCTTCTTTCAATTCGTCTCTTATGGCATCACCAGCTTTTCTGGATAGCCAGCACCGATTTGGTGAGACATCTGTTCCGGACTTTCTCTAACCTTTCCATCTAAGAACGACAAAGCAAAAAGAAAAAAAAACTTGTGGAAACGTACGTTTGGCCGAGGAATGAAATTTAGAGAATGCATTCTCACTTAAAAACCTTATCAACGCGCTACATTTCAGCTATCGCTTAAATTTCTCAGAGAACAGCTTTATTTCAAAAGAACCGTGACCCAATAGTAATGTATTGCGAACAGAACCTATGAGTATTTAGACCTAATCTACCCTTTTGGTTAGCTTCGGTAGCAAATCAGGTGAGTTTGGTCGAGATTATGGTTCGCTTTTTGGCGAGACGTAATCGAGCCAAAATACCCTTGGCGAGACCAAACGAACCTGATATGAAGCCGAAGCCTACCAAAAAGTTACGATTAGGTATTTACCAAACCCAAATTCGGCCACGTGCCCATGATATCACATGACATCTTGACAGTATACACGGCTTCTGATTGGCTAATTGCGAATTTGGGAGCGAAAACGATCAATTCTACAATACTAAACACGGCAATTATCAAAACTATGTATACTTTTGGGCGAAGCCCAAAATTTGTTTGGCACGCCATCTTAGACTTAACTCCCCTACAATCGTGGAAACTAGATCGTTCTGACGTTTCCGTTCACTGAACGTACCGCTTCTTCTCGGAGAAAAACCTTCGTTCGCCCGATTTTTACACCGCTGTCGTTTGTGTGTAGATTTTCCTTGACATCATCCCTATTAACCTGCACGACTTCCAAGATTGACCGGCAAATGTGTCTCTTGTGATCGTAGCTACTTCGGTGTCGTCGACGAGAACGACGTTTCAGTCTTTCCACGGAGGGAACCCGAGGAGAGGCTTCGGCTTTCTTCAGCGAGTGGGTTTGGGACTGAGTCGCATGACTGCGCGTCACTGGGTTAAGATTCTTCAAAGCGAGGCTGTATCGTTGAAGAAATTCGTGATGGGAGAGCCTGGAAGAGGAAATGGCGGTTGTTGTTGTGAACTGAGAGCTCTGTTTACAAGCTTGGAATTCTTATGGTAGAAAAAAACCAGAAACTTTCCAAGTGCTAATTTATAAAGGGTCTATACAGATTTTATCCTACCTTTCCGGTATTTCTAGGCGTCGCTTCATTTCGTCGGCAAAGGCGAGAACACAGAGCGCGCAAGGAAGCAGGGAGGGGGGGAGGGGGGAGGGTGACTTAATCGTTTTCGAGGGTAATAGACCCACAACTCTACACGCACTGCGCTCAAACAAAGAAGGAGGGACGCCTGGAAACGAGGCAAGTAGTCAGCATGAGTTGAATTAACTCTAGTAACAAACTCTAACCTTGTTTTTCTTGACGAGTCCTTCGACCTGGTAGGACACGCTCTCGGCAAAGTGATGTATGCTGAATACATGATTTTCACTCTTAAACCGCGGACAAGTAAAGTGGCTGTTCTGAAGTAGGGAGGTCTCCAGTCGAGTGCTGAAAGACTTCGTGTCCAGTTCTCTCTTCAAACGGCACTCCTGGCACCGAACGAAAGAGATATCCATTTGAAACCCTAGGATTAATTGTCAAGACAAGTACGATTGCATTCAAATAAGGATGTTAGACAATTTAGAGCGTAAAAAATGTTTTATCACCTCATTCATTAGTGAAAAGACACTTGTCCTTCCCTCGATGAGATCCAAACACGGGCGACTGTCGACAAAATCTTGGAAGGACCAGTCAATACCCTCCGTTTGATACTCCTCCTGAAAAGCAAATTACGAGTCATCAGTTTTGAGTTTGCACGAATTGCACGCCTGGAAACTATTGTAACTCTGCGGCAGCCTCGTTTCCAGGCTCTTTCTCCGAGGCAAAAGAAAGAGAACCTGGAAACGAGGATGACTGTGCAGTGCACATTGCCTGTCGTTTTGCTCGGAGGATTTTAGATTAATTAAGAGAACAAATATTAAATGAACCATTTTTACCTGTTGTCTCTTCATAAAATAATACACGAAGTGTTGCTGCAGCTTTTCGTTTGCGTAGTTTATACTCAACTGCTCCAAGCTGTTGAGGTGGAAGTTTTCAAAGCCGTAAATGTCCAGAAGACCTGAAATGGAAGTAAACGATGAAAACTGGGCAACCCTGTATCTTGACAAGTTAGAGCGGAAACCTCATGGTTAGTGCGCTCGTCTCCGGATCGAGCGGTCCGGGTTCGAGCCCTGGCCCGGGACATTGTGTTGCGTTCTTGGGCAAAACACTTTATTATCACAGTGCCTCTCTCCACCATATATCTTGACGGGCTGACTGTATCTAAGATCGCACTACGTAGCTAGAGGTTAAAAGTGTTGACATTTGTGGAGGGAAAAGGTCGACTTCCGTATGACATCTTGTAGGCTAATAAGGTAACAGCGAGAAATTCCTCCCCCGATTACAGAGGTTCAACTGTATCTTATCATGCTTTATAACGTCTTACCTATAAAAGAATACTTTGAATCTGACGGTGCTCTGAGGGATGCATTTATGAAGTCAACAATCCAGTCGAATAATCTACGAAAACGAACGAATAATCACACGAGAGAAACAGCGAGGATATTACCATTAAAGGAAAGGTGTTATGGGGCAAAGGCATGTTCACGTAGGAAAAGGAACTCGGAAAAGCACCCCTTGTTCACAAAGCACAATGCACGAGAAGGTAGCGCAATACGTAACGGGATCAACTTATCTATGCGTGCACTTTTTCACGTTAATTTTATAAGAAGTGTAGCCAGCTTGTGTTCGTGTATGAACCATTGACTCTAAGTTCTTTCAATCTCCTGTACACTTTTGTTTTTGTACCTGGAGTAGATCAGTTTGGCCATACAATCTCTTCTTTCCACGCATTCTGATTTTGAACATGGCTTCATGAACTGCTCGCCAGTGGAACCCGTTGTGATTCGTCGTAATGATAAGCACTGCTCTAGCGACTCCGCTTCAGTTCCCAGTAATTCACAGGCTTCTAAGGATGAAAAAGTCAAAAAAGCATATTTTAATAGTAAGTGTGTAGGTGTAGGAGTCCATCAGAGATATCCTCACTTATTAGCTTTCTGTTTAACTAAACAAGTGGCTTTCTGTTGACTGTCAAACAAGAACAAAGAGTCAAAGAGAGTGGAAGAATCTGTCCAGTACAATACTTTTCTTCACCTCTTGTCAACCCAGCCATAATCAGGGCGCGGGCAAACTTGCTAAGAGACGGGAGAGTTGATATCTTTGACGACCTGTCTCAAACTAGCATCAACTCTGCTCGATCAGTGTCATGAAAAATCAAGAAGGTTAAACTTCGTTGAAGCGCACGAGAATCGATGGGAGCAGATGAGTGTTCAGGGTAAAATGCAAGCGAGAGTCGGAACTGTCTCCTCATGCCCCATTTAGTTCGTATTTTCCTCACCAGAAACCAAGTTTCCAGCTAACACTTACCTTGAACATCTTGAAGAGTGCAAGTTTCGTTCGTTGACGGATTCGGGTCCGAGAACTGAGCGTCACAAAGCTTGAGAATTCCATTGAGAACCTAGAACGAGGAAAGACAGCTTTAGAATCAAGAATAGCCAGTCTGACAGAATCAAGAAGTAAAGCGGGAGAACAACGAATCAGAAAGGAGAGACGTTTACCGAAAATTAGGTTGCTTCACCTTAAATATTTCACATTGAAGTTGATCATCAATTCCAACGTTTCCCAGAGCTTGCCTGGTTACTTCGAGCGCTGCAATACAAGATTACAACACA